ATAATCAGTTGTCTTTATCCTCTTTGGACTCACGGTATAGTTAATTTCTAGCTGAAAAATCATTATGTAAGGTTCTCGAATCTCAGTTTTTATTTATATATATATATATATATTTTCCTTTTAATGCTACTGAAATTGCTTGTATTAAACAATTTGAAAATGGTTTAACCGCTTAAACAAACGAGGAGGGAAGAAAAAGACATGAGTATGCACCACAAGAAATTTACAATTTTTCTATTTTTGCTCTGATTCCAATAATAATCACTGCACATGAACAAACTCTTAAGTTTTTTTTTTTTTTCCCACACACATATATATATATATATATATATTTATTTGAACTGGTGCAAGTAGACAACTCACATCAGAAAAAAATAGCTTCATCTCAAGCAAAATTATAAATAATTGCTCCTAGCAGAACCTCCAATATAAGCCGCTTAATTATTATTTTTTTAATATCTTTTGCCCCCCTTTTTTCTTTTTTGTAATGATCACAATTAGGTATGAATCTCCAAGCGAATTAATTAAAAATAGTAAAATTAAGGCATCACTAAGAAAATTTGAAGGATCACTAATGGCTTTAGAGAGGCTAATAATTAATGTAGTAACCGCTTTGGATTAAAAAGTCGCATCTAAATGCTATAGCAATATATATGTAACGTTGGATTTAACTGTACTCATTACGGTTTAATTTGGACATGTGCTTATAACTATATATGTAACTCCACAAATCAAATGAATTCCATCTGCCATATGGAATCGGATCGATGTCCTTCATCATATTAGATAATTAATGTGATTAGTGATTACTTAATATTGTAGAAACTCAAAAGTTAGAAGTAGTAATCAGCCAGTACTAATTATAGATAATTTTTTATTTCCTTTCATAAAATCTTCCTACATTCTATTATATCTTTACACTTATTCTTATTTCAAGATCAATAATGGTCTTTTTTTTGTTTCTTTTTTTTTTGTTTTTGTTTTTGTAAGTACTAGCAATTATAATGCATGCATGCAATATTTCAATTACTTATTATTTTTTTTGCTGCTAATATTTCAATTACTTAAATCACATGGCATAGGAGCCAGCTAAGGACCAAGATCAGCTGCCCTCGACCTGAGGGCTTCTTATAACCTTGTCCCAGCAAATCTTTTTTCCCCCTAAAATTTTCTATTTATAATATCTACATGAATATATTTTTTAAAATTTTAATTGCATTAAAGTGTACCAATAATTAAAATTTAAAACCCCAGATAAATTTACAACTATATTAAATGCATAATTTTTTTGGACTCCTAACTTGAAAGAAAGAATCAAACTCTATTACCGAGAAGAAAAGAAAATATTAGCAGATAATAAAGATAAATTATGAATTGCAACTTTGGTTGATTATGATTAATCAGTCAATGCTCTACTTAAAAAAATGCTTAATCATCATCAACCGGTATTATTATACACAGTCAGCGCTATAAGTGAAAGAAAAAAGAAAGAAAGAAAGAAAGAAAGCGATTTACGTTTCATCAGTAACGTTTGTGTTTCTTAATTACAAGCTATAGCCCCATCACCTTCCCCAAAACCCTTCGCATTTTCAGTTAATTAAATCATAATTAAGTGCACTAATTAATTAACCGGTCTTTCTTTTTTTTTTTTCCTCTGCCTCTTAATTCCCTCATCTTCACTTCCTTATAAATATCTCTCTCTTCACAGAAAACAAAGACATATATTCCTCATCTACGTATAACATTCTGCATTTACGTATAATATACAACCATGTATAATCAGTTGTCTTTATCCTCTTTGGACTCACGGTATAGTTAATTTCTTATAAATTAATACTCTCAAAAGCACAGCTACATTTTTCTTCCTTGTTTTTCTCTCATGGCTTAGTATTCTAAACGACAACAACAACGTTGCAACAGCCTCAAGAGTAGTGTATTTCCCTGCAATGGAAAAAAACGACATTAACAGTATCGAAAGTATCAGCCTTAGGTCGAGGCTCGAGACGAGCGGAGGGCTGGTGGAGTGCTGGACGGCGCTGCTGGAGCTAAAGTCGTGCTCGAACGAGATCGTGCTCTTCTTCCTCGATGGCCAGGCCAGCATTGGCGGTGATTGCTGCCGCGCCATTGTCTTCATCACTCGTAGCTGCTGGCCCGCCATGCTCACTTCTCTAGGGTTTACCGTACAGGAAGGCGATTTTCTCCGCGGCTTCTGTGACGCCCTTGAGACTCACGCGCCGCCACCGCCGCTTGGCCCTTCTCCCGCTCCGCTTGCTGACCCCACGCCTGTGGCCGGTGATGATCTAGTCAAACTGCCCACTCTGTTGGATTAATTAGCGGATCAAAATGCTTAATATGTTGTGTCATTGCTACCGGGGTCTAGTAGGGTTTATGTTTTAGGGCCGGTTTTGGTTGTTTTTGATTTATTTTCTGGTTATTGCTAATTACTTTTCATGAAGATTAGTGGTAAGTTGGTTCCTTAATTTGGTGATGGTATTGAGGCTTGTTGTTGACGTAGGAAGTTTTTTTTTTTATTTTTTTTATTTTTTTTTACTGTGTGCCGTTTTGTTTTATTGGTTTCTGATTATGAAA